CACTGTTGCAAAAGGAGCTTGCTGGTATGGAGAAAGCCCTGATGAAGCCACGGAGGGCAGAGCATCACGAGGCAGAGACAGGGCTGTAATGGGGAGACATTGAGTGATTTCAAGTGGGCAATAACACAATATTGGAAACATTAAAGGAGACCAAACCATTTGTGATCTCCTCTGTGATATGAGTAGCTTTCTTCTTTCTCCGTATTAATATTTTCCTAGTTTTCTACATTGGTCTCCCATTTGGTTATCAGAAAAAATAATAAAACCTCAATTCTTTAAGACTGGGCATGAAAACCATTAAGGAGCCTCCAAAATATGGAGTTTTGATTATAGTATCAAGCATACATTTAATATATTCTTACAGAAGAAAGACTCTTCAATCTGTCTCCTAGCTTTGATGTGTGACTTTATGAGAAAAGTGAGCTTCAAAGAGAACTCTAGGTGACAGGGAAAAGCTTTCCCTTAAAAATATGTTTACTTCTATGCAACCAATATCTTCAGAACTTTTTATGTCTTTCAAACATAATTTCCCTCAAAAAGACATGAACAGTATCCTAAATAGTTTCAAATAGGTTTATCTGGGTCTGTATATTTATAATTCAAGTGGTAGAATGCTTAATTAGCATGCACCAGGCCCTGGGTTCAATCTCCAGTAACACACACACACACACACACACACATACATGTTACCCATCTTTCTTGGATCAAGACATTGCCACACTCTGAGCTTGCCCTGATCTCCCAGGCTGTGGTAATGCCTGTAGGTACTCTGAATAGCAGCCTGCTATTCTCACCTGGCTCGCAGAACAATGGTCTCTTGTCAAAAAAGGAAAAAAAAACAAACCACCCTATAGCCTCTCTCACTCTGGGTCACTGGTTCTCATTTAAACAGAAATTGGTTTTAATTGCAAAGAAACTGTTCTGTATCCTACTATAAGGTTGGATATATGTCACTATTTGTCCAAGCCCATAAACCATAAACGCAACAATGAAGCCTAATGTAAAATATCAATTCTGAGTGCTAATGACATTTAGATATCAGTTCATCAGTGGTAACACATTGTTCCCCTCTGATAGGCACTGTCAATAATGGGGAATGCTTGTAGGGGTGGTGAGTAAAATGGGAAGTTTCTGTATTGCCTGCTCAGTATTTTGATGAAACTAAAACTGCTTTTTAAAAGTCATTTTTAAAAGGCTAGAGGGAAGTTTGGTTATATAATATCTTTAGCTCAAGAATCTAATTTCATGATGCACTTTATTTTAGCTTTAATTGCAGTCGTCCTTCAGTTGCATCCCTCCTGACCTAGATGGAACACTTAACAGCAGCATGAGACACAATGAAGGAAAGAGCCAATGCTGAGATCCTGAACAATAAGAGCTCGGCTGAGTCTGGGTGTACAGTGCATACAGACATTCTGGGGATAATGTCCTTGACCTCTACCCTCAGAACAAATTCTACAAGGGAGTCATTCTTCCCATTTAAAGATGAAAAAAATGAGTCTTAGGGAGGCTGAGGAACTTACGTGACTAATGACTTTATCAAAGAGATAAAGTGACAGGCCTAAGCATTTTCCTAGATTAGCAATTCTAAATCTTTTATCTTCCAACAGAAGCAACAATTTTGTTCTATATTTAGGTAGAACTGCCTTGAATGTGGTTTAACAAGGTGCTAATTTTACCAGAATCTTATTATGAAAGTAAAATAATTTTAGATGTTTAGGAATTAGTCTAAACTTATATGAGAAATATTTTATAAAATAATTTAATGCTACTGTCAGAGGCAGGAATATAAATGAGTTAACTAGCTATATTTAGAAACATCAAGAAAAATACATTTAGTGTTCAAATAATGAATTGATAATTACACATTTTATACATGTATTAAAATGTCATGCTGCACTCCATAAATATATATATTTTTTTGCATGTCTGTGGTGCTAATGATTGAACCCAGGACCTCATAGAGCAAAGCTTTTTCACTAACACTGAGCTACCCTCCCAATCTGTACAATTGTTATATCAAATAAAAACAATAGCTAGATCGTAGAAGTAGCCTATATGTCCATCAACAGATGAACAGACAAAGGAAGTGTGGTACTTATATACAATACAGTACTACTTTGCCAAAATGAAAGATAAATTTGAATCATTTGTAGGAAAATGAATGCACATTGCAACTATATTAATAAAATATACCAGAAACACAGACTTAAATATTGTCTGGTTTCTCTTATAAGAGAAACCCAAAATATAAACAAATTAAAAAAGGAGATATAAGACATGTAACAGGAAAGAGAGAGAGAAAGAGAGATGATTTGCAAAAGAAAAGGGGACCAAGAGTTAGTGGAGAGAGGAAGACAAGGACAACAAAACAATTAAGTGATGTTGTGTACACATACCAACTCTTCACAAAGAATGTGATCATCATGTACTGCAAACATGTACTATATTAATAAAAAGGTGGGGGTTTTAACTAAAAATATGCTTCCCAATCAGCAAAACAAACCACATGGAAACTTATTTACTTCAGGTTTATAGTCATGTGATGATGGAGAGGGAAAGCAGACATATTCAATAACAAGAAAGACAACATATGACTTCACTTTTTTCACTAAGGTCAACACAACAATAAAATTAGAATTTTTTATTCAGTTTAAACAGAAATTTTGGTTAAACTGAGCCATGTCAAAAAGCAGTGCTTAACAAGAAAGATTAAGCTTTACCCTTGTCACACCCCATTCTTTCTGTCAATTTGTGTTTGCCACTTGACTCCACTCGGGGATCCTGTATGTCTCTTGTAACTCCACTGTGTGCTGCATAAGGTCTGGCATGTAGTAGGGGTCCATCACTTTAGTTTTTTACGAATCATGAGATTGATAAAGCCATACTAGAAAGCACATTCAAAATGGGAAAAGGGGAAGCTCTTGTCTTCTTAGGCATGTAATATTAAGGGTGTGCATTATTAGTAAGTTGAGAGAAGGAAACATTGAAGCAGTTGAGAAAGAAAAATGACAAAAGGAATTTCCTTTTATTTTGGTTAAGTCCTAAGCAAAACACAGAAAATGTAAACCAAATTGTCCCCAGATCTCTAAAGTCAGAAAAATTTGAGCTCATGTCAGAGATAGAAGTGTCCAAATACAGATTCACTATATAAATATATAGCATCATGTAAAAAGACAGGGAATAAGGGTCCCTGTTTTCCAAGACTGCCCATATTGCCTCTGAGTCCTCTGATTTGTACGCTATGCTTCTACTTGCTCTTCTCTATTCAGTCAGATTGCAATTTTTATTCCATATTTTGCTTTCCTAAATAAGCATATACATATCAGTCTGATCAAATTCAATATTGATTCAGTGAATCTAAACAGGTTAACTCAAGCAAATGCCCAAAGAAAGTATAAGCAGAAAAAGATGTTATATTGAAACATCTAAACACATTATAAAGTCTGCTGTTCCCCAAGAGCACACGGAAAACTATAGTGCAAGCTGAAAAAGAATTTCTAATAGGGAATATCATCTGAGTTTTAAAAGTCTGATAGAACCTAAACTTCATTCCAGAAGTTATAGTTTGCAAATTATGTTTCTTCATTTTCATATGCCCTGTGGCTCCAAAGGCTTATTTCGATTAACAATAAAACACAGATTTTTCCTTTTGCTTCTAATTGGTTCTCACATCTAGAATCTGGAAAGTGATCACTGTTCTGGTTTGTACATGATGGATACTGTACTAGGAGTGAAACATTTAATTATATGGAGCTTGAACAGGAATGCCATACGCAACAGAATCATGGAAAGTTAGAGCCAGAAAGTGTTTCAGAGATCATCCAGTCTGACCTTCCTTTTTTCATTTATGGAAATAGAAGAAGTGTTGACACTTGCTGCTTGTCCTAGAGTGTGCATTTTATAAAAGGCCTATGTTTCAGAGACATCTCATTACTCAAGCTTGCTGACTGGTTCTAGTAAGAGGTTTCTTTGCATACTTTACCTCACAGGCATTTCCATTCCTTTGGAAACTCTGGAGCTAAAAGTCAGATCAATTTATCCCTAGAGTTAGTTGGCTCTGGAAATGGCAGAAACAAGGATTGGGGAAGCAGTCTCTAAATATGAAGTAACTTGTGAAAACCAAAGTCACATCACTGCCACATAACTGTGAAGCAGAGGACATAGATGTCTACAGTGAGGCTTTCCAGCACCTCAGTTAAGCACCATGATCTGGCCCCTGCTTTTGGTGCTGACTCCACACCTGGTCAGATAACCTATTACCCTCTCAAGAATTGTCCTGTCAAAATCTTATTCTCCACCTGGTGCTCAGCCTGGTCATGGGCAAATGGTGCTGAAAACAGAATTTTGGCTCCTTTTCTCCTCAGAAAACCATATTAGAAAAAAAAGAAAAAGCATATCAGTTTATCAAAGGGTGTAATTTGCTTTGCAGAATCCCTAATTTCTTAGCAGTCCACCAACCAATAGAGCTATTTTTTGTATTTCAAAAAGACAGGGGAGCCAGCATGGTGGCTTACACCTGCAATCCCAGCACTCAGGAGGCTGAGGAAGGAGAATCTTTACAAGTTTGAGACCAGCCTAGGCTACAAAGTATGCTCAAGGCCAGCCTGAACTGCATAGTGAGACTCTGTCTCAAAAAGACAAAACAAACACAGAAAAAAGACAAGAGAAATGATATATTGATCTACTGGGTCACATGGACTATAACACCAATTCTCTTTCCTTTAATTTAAATTCTGTCATTCAGTAGGATTATTCCAGGCTTATCAAAAAAAACCCTAAATAGTAAAAATATCTGATTACTAAAAATGAAGAAATTGTTATCTAACAGATTAAAAATCAGACCCCTTAAAGCACGAGATATAAAGATAAAATGAGTTATTGTGGGTATGAAAAGAGGTTTAGAAGTACTATTTTCAAACCAAAAGACTTCAAAAACATTCTAAGAGAAACCCCCTCCCTTAGTCTAGCTCTCTCATAGTTCTCTGATAATGACTCACTGAGCAGGGCAGAGAGGTTTTCCTGTAATTGGCATCTTGTGGTCGGTGTCGTCCCCGAAGTCCTCTCTCATCCTCCTCTCGCCAGCTGTGGCCCCAGAAGCTGCTCATCCATTTGGCAAAAGATACATCATCATCATCATCATCTTTGTGCTCCATGTAAAGGTAATTCAAAATACTGACAGCCTGTCCCTAAACCTGACAGAAATATCAACCAACAAGCCTGATTTGATTAAGCCCAGAATGCTCCCAAAAGACAAAATGAAACTGACACTTTTAAATAGTCTCTGTCAATGGCATCCTTGGAGAAGGATTTACTAAACAACAGCTTCATCATTAGGCAGCCTTGGGCACTGTCTATTTATAAACTGTGCAGCCCACACTCCCCTCCCCCTTGTCTTTTTAAATCAAGAGGCTTTTTAATCTTCCCATTGCTAGGGCTTATGCCTCACAGACCAAACACAGGAAGCACAGTCCATTGCCTGCATTTTCCTGAGCTGTGCTGCCAGTGGCATGTGATGGCATCTCCAGCTGTCAACCATGATGGAGCATGACCCTCATAAATATGCCTGTCAGCTAGCTCCAGGCTGGCAGTAAGATGGAAGCCACCTACAAAGGAAAGACTGCAACTTTCAAGGTGCCAGCAGTTGAAATGTCATATTAAACACTTTCCTAAAAAATAAAATTGATATTGACAGAAAACCCAGCTCTAGGTCAAAGTGAATAGTTTTTATCAAAGTATTACTTATACACATACAAATACAAATTATACACTTGTAAATGTAGAATGCACAAAACTTAAGAAACAGCTTGATGAATTTGTACATACGTGTACTCCTCTATCACCCTCCACTGTGTAGATGAAGACATAGGACACTTCCAGCATGCCAACAAGTTCATTCTATCCCCCTTTCAATCTGTACTCCCTTCAAAAGACGACTGTTTCTTACCTGTCCCATTAGATCGATTTTACTTTACTTGAATTATCTTTCAATATACCTATAGTCTTGTTTGTATAGCACCAATCTCATTGTATCTATGAGATTTATGCAGATTTATGTACTAATACTAGTTCATTTATATATATATATATATATATATATATATATATGCACACAGAGAGAGAATCCATCCTAATATACATATATAACTTTTAAAATCCTGTACATGGTCATATTGGGATATTATTTGGGGTTGTTTGCAGTTGGAGCTATTATTATTATTTGAGGGGGTGGTACTGGGGATTGAACTCACGACCTTATACTTACCAGGCAAGTGCTTAAGCCACTGAACTAAATCCCCAGCCTGGGGCTATTATTTTTTTAAAATCCTCTGTGAATTTACAGTCCCTATCTTTTTTCATTGTTTTCAAAGTAAAGAACATATAACTTTTGTAAAGCTTGTACTTTGTATCAACTAGGGAAGCAAGTATTTTATGCTATTTTTATTATAACAGCCCTGTGATTAGGAGATTTGTATAACATTTTATGGATGAGGAAATTGAGATTTGAACACATCATCACTTGCCCAAAATGAAATTACTGAGTATCACAGACAGTTTTGAAGCAAAACTCTTTAAACCTTTCTGCCAATATTCTGAAACACTTTTGGTACATCTTGTGTTTTCAAACAGGAAGATTTTTCATTATTTGAATATGAAAACCCTTCCTTAAAGATAAAAACAATGATAGACCTGATGGCCATGCTAATATTCCTACAGCATGAGTAACATCCATTTGTCAAATCTGTTTAGGTCTCAATTCTCAGTGATTAGCCCCCTCTGGAGGGCCAGTGCCCCCTCCACTCCTCCATCTGGAATAAGGAACTCTTTTTTAACATTTTGGTGCAAAAGTTCATGAGAGAGACAAAGCTTCATCAAAAGCAGAAAATATAACCAACACATCAGCTGCTTCATACCCTTTAGAAATGGGTCCAGGGAGTCCAGAATAAGAATGGAGATGGGCTTCCGGGAGAACATGGCGGACAGATAACAGCAACTACCAGAGGCTCTCTGAAAAACTAGGCTCAGAAGCCAGGTATGGTGCGGACTAAAGAGACATAAGCAGGTGGAGTTATGCTCTGCTGACTCAGGAACGAACTCGGCTGAGAAAAACCAACTTGAATGCAGTCCTGGTGCTAAAGCAGGAACAGAAAAGTCTCGCTGCTGAGGCTGGACCCTGCGCCATTGGAAGCCGCGATTTGGGTTTCCCGCCGCGCGGTGGCTGGCTGCCTCTACATCGGCTCGGCAAGGAGAGAGACGCGTGGAAACTCTGAGAACGGGAGTCTGCGAACGGAGTCAAAAACAGGACGGGCAGGGAGGCATGTTCTGACTTGTGGCGAGGTGAGTGAGAGAAACTGACACTCCACCACAGTTTGACTCCAGCGGACTTTCTGGGCCCGAGCAGTCCTGCAGGAGCAGGGCGCGGTGGCGACTCCAGCGACACATTCCCCTCTCGGGTGGGATTGGTGAAAAGTGCCTGGCCTGCGTGACGCTGCCGGCGGACCCTGTAGGCTGGCCCAACCCAGATCCCAGAGCCTGACGGAGACCGGGAGGGGCGGGCCCCCGCATAGGCTGCCTGGTGCGCAGCGGTGAGTGGGAACACCTAACCGGCGCAATTCGATCAGGCTGTGGCTGACAGGGAGAGAAGCTGGGCCTCTCATATAAGCTTGCATATATAAGGAACAGAGAATATGGGAAGAGGCAGCAACAAGAAAGGCTCCTCGGCCCCCAATTCTGAGAAACAGGCAATAGCGGACACCGCACCAATACACATAAAGCACCATATAGAGAGCCTCATAGACCAATTCAGGAATGAAGTTATCAACGACCTGAAGCTAGAAGTATGCAAAATAGTTAGAGAAATGCTAAGCCCCACCCAAGAAAAAACAGATGGTGGAATGGAAGAACAGAAAAAGAGGGGAGAATTGTTTGATGGAGAAAACAGGGAAAGCATAGAATACGTGAAGCAGGTTCAAAGAGACTACCAGGAAACTAAGAAGTCTATCGAAGACTGGCATAACAGCTTGAAAGAAACTAAGGACAGACTATCTGAACTGGAGGGCAGAATTGTAATATGGGAGAATGAAATGAAAAACTTCTTAAAAATAACAAAGAAACAAACAGCAATAATACAAAGACAAGAAGATGATAAGAGGATCCATAACTTAAGGATTAAGAACATAAAAGAAGAAGTAGGGACACAAACAAATGAACTACAAAAGCTACTCACAGAAATAATCCAGGAGAATTTTCCTAATTTAGCAAAAGGTAAAGATACTCAGATGTATGAGGCATACAGGACCCCAGCTACCTACAACCCAAACAGAGCAACACCCAGGCATATAATAATAAAAATTCCAGAAATTCAATACAAGAACAGAATATTAAAAGCTGTCAGAGACAAGAAACAGACCACTTACAAGGGAGCACCCATCAGAATTACAGCAGATTTCTCTGCACAAACCATCAAATCACGAAGAGCGTGGGGGGAAATAATTCAAGCTTTGAAAGATAATAATCTCCAGCCAAGATTGAGATATCCTGCACAACTGTCCCTGGAAATTGATGGAAAAACAAGATGCTTCCAGGATAAAGAGGAACTGGGGGAATTTGCAACCACCAATTCAACTCTACAGAGAGTATTGCAGGATATTCTAAAAAAAGAAAAATACAAAGAATCCAGAAATAGTGGAGGCCACAACTAATGGAGCAGAGAACAAAGTGAAGAAGACAAACTGACAGCTACTGACAGAATAAGAGCTCAACAGAAATGAGACAGAGAAGATTGGATGATAGGAAAAGCTATTTTGGAGAAAATGACATCTTAATAGGTAATACTGATTTAGTATCATCTTGTTGTGAAGTCTCATCTAGCTTTTGTCCTTCTGTCTCCAATGGTCTAAATAGGTGGTATCTTACTGGATTTTATTATGTACGATAGTATAAGCAAAAACCTTTTAAAGATAAGGAGATTATACAGAAACCATTATTCATTTTCTGTTAGTCGATTCTAAATACTCTGTAATGCTGTCATTCTCTTAAATGGTTTTACATTGTTTTGATATACTTAATGCTACAGTATACGAAGTTGTACTCAAGGATTTCAAGGAAAGAGACAATATGGCAACTACTTTTAGGTCAGGATTATCTGGTGGTGAAACACTATTCTGCTTAAATGGTTATGTTTTGATCTGTGCTGTTTCGTTGTTATGCCCTCTTTTATCTCAATCTCCACTCCATTATTTACTTTTTTAATACTTTTTAAAAAATTTTTATCCTTTTAATTAAAGGAAAAAAATAGCAGGATATATTATAGTAACCCACTTTGACTTTCTATTACCTCAATTTAAAGCCCTGTATTACTCTCACCATCTGGTTTTTAACTGATGTTCCCCTATTCTGTTTTGCTGGATAGTATCAGGTTTGAAAATTTAGGCATCAGCTTAGAAGATAATGAGATTCATTATAACGCCCATTCTCGTTGACTTTTATCTACTTTTGAAGACCTACAATGTCTCCAATGGTTTGGTTTTGTCGGTTTTGTTCTTTACAGTTTTGTTCAATTGTATTATAACTAAGGATATAGGCAATTCTATTAGAGATAGCAGGAGGCATTATGGTAACCATTGTTGATCACCTTGTATTATGTTTTTACATTATCTATTATGTCCACCCTTTTGACTTGACCGATTCTGTTCTGTTATGTCTCATTTGGTTTTACTCTCTTCCAAAAAAGCAATAAGAACCGTGGGAGCAATGAAACCCAAAATGTATAATAGTCATTGTACAAAAGAGAGGAAAAGAAAGTGCTCTAAACTATATAACTGCATGTATATTTAAGTGTATAAGATAGAATATCATATCACAGAGTTTTATTGGATCATTGAACAGAACTGTTTGCAGTATCATTGATAGAATGTCCACTTTACAAGCTTTAATTTTGTGACTTGAACAATTATTTCTAAGATGACAATATGTAATCCATTAACTAGTGATTTCCTACTGTTCATTTTTTTTCTGCAAATCTGTATAACTTGTACCCTTTCTCTGCTTTTTTTTCTTTTCTCCTTAAATAAAATTTAAAAAAAAAAAAAAAAAAAGAATGGAGATGGGTAATTCAATAAGGATGAAAGTATGTCTGTACTAACTTCTGTAACTGTATAAAAAGAACTGACACAATAGAGGTTTAGACCTGGGCAGGCTCAACATTTTGTACATAATACACAGCATACTGAGAATCAGAGACTAGATTTAAAGGTTCCTGAGGGAAAGCTTGTAAAGCAAGTATGATAGCACCTAATTTTCTCTCCTGGATGAAATTTGCCCCTAGTTAATTTTAGAGAACCAGATACTATACATGCCTTCTTAGTGTGACTGAAACCATTGGTGAATACAGCGCATGCCTATGGAATGGGTTCAAAATGGACAACCTTAGAAAGGATGAAAGGAGTAGCACTTAAAAAGTGTAAGAGCTTATCAGCAGGTCAGGATCCAAGGATTTCACCTGCAAAATCAGTGCTGCACACTGTAGCAACAGATTGTTGAAGTAAGTTTCAAATTCCCCATGAGGAATGGGAGCCTGAATAACCTGAGGATCATAGCCAGATAATTAACCCTTTCTGCCCATGACAATGAGAAGCTATAAGATTGCATGAGTTTATGATCTTCATGACTCAAAAGGAATCATTCTAAACTTTTAAATATGGGGATCTATTGTCTAGTAAATCTAGTAGGTAAATAGGGAGTGGGGAAAATAGTTGAATAGGAAATTGTGGATCTATTCAATCCAGTTGACACTATTGAATAGCTTGTTCCACTAGCTATAACTCCATTTCGGTTTCTGGGGTTACAAGGGAAGGAAAGATCAGGATCACCATGAAGAATATTAAAAAGATGTGACAATCAATGAATTCCCAAACTGAGACAGAGCCAATTAGTATCACCTAGCATTTTGAAAATTATTTAAAGTAGTTAATTGATTCTTCTTAATAGAGGGCTTTGGGGGCTTGATAGTATGCTTTGTTAACATGTAACT